ATCACGGTTGCTTCTTCTTTTCTTTTTTTTTTCTTTTTTTTCCCTTTTTCGCGCAGTGCGCACCAGACCTCACGTACGTGCTGCAGGTATGATTATGATTCATGTTGCTTGCTAAAGAGGTGAAATTCTTTAATTGTTGGGCTGACTCAACTTGAATCTACTCGTCTGGGTGGAAAAGGGGCTGTTGTGGTGGAAATTTAAAACACAAACACACACACACACACACAAAAAAAAAAAAAAAAAAAAAGATGCCTCTGTTCTGAGTCCTCTGACACCCTGCTTGTGCGCTGTTTGTTCATCTCCCGTTTTTTTCCCTTTCGCCCACCCTCCAAAGAGCATGACGGCTTGATGAAGGCGCATCTCTGTTCTTGTTAGCAACAGCGGTCAAGGTTCCACCAGCAGCAGAAGCAAGTACATAATAAAGTTAAATAAACTTGATTAAAGAAGTTCTTCTTGTCGTTCTTTTTTTTTTTTTTTTTTTTTTTAATAACAACTAATGATGGTTACTAATCTATATTTTTCACTCGTACAGTTCACTCTACCTACCTACCTTACATATATGTCCAGTTTTTCCAAGGGATGCTCAAGGTTATGCGTCGAGTTTTTCCCGCCTTCCCAGCCTATTCTGCTCTATGCACAGTTCGCTTGTACAGTTCTGCCTACCTACCTACCGACATTAATTGCTCATCAATTGCAACAGGCCCAATGCCCAAGTGCAATACATAATGTACAACCCCAGCTCAAACTAGGAGCGGCCAGGTCACTGCATCATCTCCTAGGTGCAGAGTCCTTCCGCGCTGCTAAATGGGTAAAGAAAGGGCAAAGGTTTGCGAATCTCCCTCTCATGAATCCATGGTCCTTCGCCGCGTGGTTGGTGATGCAAATGTGACAATGATTGCTGAGTCCTTAATGTCGGTTTTCCGCTGTGCTTGCTTGTTTTTTTCTTCGCCAATTACTTTGGTGGCTTCACAGATTGTAGAGTACCCCCGGAAATCCAAGTCAGAGATTCTTGACCGCTGTGGTCCGCTGCACAAGGTGCGTAAATGTGGAACACTTCCCCAATAACTCCAGGTCTTCGTGGGTGAGGAATACTGTGAGGGCCCCCAAAGACAGACACACACTGTAATTCTTTTTGTGGTTTTGTGGGCCGATTCGAAGGGCTCTCCAAGTTTTCTTGGACCTTTGGGTGATTGGGTCGGTGCTTTCTTGCTGGTGGAGTGTGCACTTGTGCCGCTTTGGCGGCAGACCGGTGTGTGGGCACTTGGCGCTGAACCACACAAACGTGGCCAACCTTGCATTTTGTACTATCTTGCCTATCTATTCTTTCTTTGTTTTATGGATGGTTTATGATGATTCGTGGATGGAATGAGAGAGAGAGAATTTGGGGTTTTGAAAGAAAGAAAAAAAAACACATGCCGACGGGGATGTGGGCAGCTCGTGCTCAACCACAACCAACGCGGTGCGCCTTGTACATGAGAGGCACAGTAAAAGGGGAGTTGCAAGGACAAATGAAATGGGTAGCCAAAAAAGCAGAAATGAACACAGTTAAGAAAGGGATTAAACGCTTCTATTATTTTTTATTTTTTATTTTTTCTTTCTTTTTGTTTTACTGCAGGCTCCATCTATTCATGGGGAGCTTCACGTGCTGAGAACCGGGCTCAGCGTCCCTTAAAGAAACATCTGTTGAAAAAGCATAGGCATGAACATCAAACAAGATCATCGTGCTGGAAACCGAGCCCAGCGTCCCATGGTAGCCCTTCTCCCAATTCCAATCCTAACCCTTGACCTGGCAGGGTATCGGAGAGAGCCACAGAGGGGCCATGGCTCCTTCCTAGCCCGCCAGGGTCTCCTATCTCTGAGCCATCCTCGAGCTACCCTTTTTCGATTTATTGTGCAAAGTGCAATCAGACTCGTTCTCAAACACACTTTTCATGCATGTAAATAGCAACGCAGTATACTGGCGACATGCGCCCACTCAAAACTCAGAGATATGGCTTTCAGATACGAGTTCACTCTCAATTGGCTATGGCGACTTCAGCGCCCAAACATCTCACTGTTCACATACACTGGATCACCCTGGATATCCCACACACAT